TATATATATATATATATATATATATATATATATATATATATATAAACTTATATAGAATATTCCACTAGAAAACTAAAAACTAATCCTGTTAAGACATTAACATTAATCTAATTAGGAATATAATTTCATAACTATAACTCTTCATAATTCTCAATATTCTGAATTGTATCATGCAAATAATTGGTTTATGAATATATAAATATCATTGTGATCTGAGAGGAAATAACGTTAAAATTCACCAACAAGGTTATTTGGTATGTGATAGAAATAGATTTGATAAGGATTATTTCGATATTTTTAAAGATTATGTTAGATCCAAAACAATTTTGAAAATGGTATAGGTTTTAGAATTTGTGATAGAATTAACATTCTGTCATATATGATTTGAACTGGATTAAAAAAAAATATGTGGTAGATCTAAAAATCAGTTTTAAATTGTGTAAATTTTATAATGATAACCCATTTGTGATATTTTTTTTTTGGTATTATGTGTGTTTAATTGATAAAATAAATACATATGGGGAAATGGAATGAAGCCATGTGTGGCCCTTGAGATATTTAGCTGGCAATCTGTCGATTGATTTTCATGAAGGTGAACTTTGGAGTTTTGTGCTAGGGCCCAGACACTGGTGAATCTGTGCCTCGTTTTCTTTTTCCTTAGTACTTATCCCCTAAAGGTCTAATGGCGTTTCCATATTCGATTCGGTTCTATAAAAATTTCCAAAATTTTAGTTTTTTTAACAAATTTTTGGTTTTTCGGATTTTTTTTAAAAATTCGGTTCAGTTTAAAAAATTCAGTTTTCTAAAACAAATTATCGTTCAAAAATTTTGGATGATTCGACGTGGGAATGGTGCCGTATTTTTCGATTCGATAAGGTTCGATTCTAAAGAATACTGAAACACCCATTCTACTTTTTTCCCATTTTTATTCCATGACAAATATAATTCAATCTAATTTAAAATATCTAAATCAAGTTCTTATTTTGGTTAGGACACTTTTGTGTTCCTAAGTTCTTTAATTTTGAAAAAAAAACAATATATCTTCCAGTCGTAAATCGAATTTTGATTCATTTCATTTTCTATTGTGGTTCGTTTCTATTTCTGTTTCATTCAAAAAAATATTTATAAAAAATTGTTCAGTTAGTTTTTTTTTTCCGTTATTACATCCTAAGTCTAAATCAAAGAATTGAACCTTGTCTTAAATTTTACAAACATTTGGTTATGTTGGAGTCTTGGATTACTTATCTTTTGAATGACAATATATGGCAATATTAAGTAATTATCACATTAGAAATTAGAATCAACGATATCGGAAAATGGATGTTTTGAGATATATGTTTGATAGGTGTGTCAATTTAGACCCGAGATCTGAAATCTGTTCCGGTCTAGTCCGAAATTTAGCGAACTTCGAGACTAAGTTTTCTAATACGAAAAAATCGGGCTTTCAGACCGGACTTAAATCGAGTTTCGGACTCTATTCGGCGGACTCGAAAACCCGATACTTTAAAAAAAATGACATTTACAAAATAAATTATGCGGAACGGTCCAGCATGAAACAATAAACATTAATGGGGTATCCGTATTCGATATTTGGGAACATATTTTTATGTCATTTTCAAATTGTTACAAGTCGATGTGTATGGACGCATAGAAACGAGTAACGAAATGTCACTGCTGGAAAATGGACGAGCTCAATTATTTAATACAAACACTTTTAAATAGTTAATCGGCGATTTAATAATTGTATTGATTGTGAAAATTCAAACGAATCGCCCTCGTATTCAGGCACATATATATATCAAAATCCAACCGTCATATATTATAATTACGAGTATGTCTCCTTGTAATTCTCATTCGATATTCTCACTCGGAATATGAAAGACATATTATCCACAAGATTCGATTTAGTTCGGTTTGGTACGAACGATTCGGTATAATCAGTATAAATATCAATGTATTGCCGTTCGAATCATTTGGAGAAACATAAAGAGAAAATTTTCCGCTGATCCATTTTTCAATTCTCTCGAATTCAATACAGACATTCCATAGTTCGAGAATTACAAGTTATTCTTTGATCCACCGCATATAATATGATGGGACGAAACCCTCCATGCATTATTTGTGTATAAATTTATATTCCATGAATTAATGCATTTGAAGATTTTATGGAATTGTGATTGTGACAATGTTGATTCTCCTGTGCCCTTTCACAAAATGAAAAAGATAAGATTTGGTCCAGCTGTCATATTTGTATGTGAATGATTTATATAACCCATGAATTTGTGTTGTAGCTATTCCATTTGAAATTTTTTGTACACATAAATTTCCTCTTTTTTTTTTGTCTTAAAACTGATTTTATGTGGTAAGAATTTATGTACGTGTTTTACCGAAATAAAATTGAAAACATTTATCTTATTTATGTGTGTATATATGTGTGTGAATATTACATATTTGTATAGTTTTATATCTATGGTAATACATTGTCCAAGTGTCCTATATGAAGCATTTGAGAAAGAAAATAATGTCATTCTAAATTGTGTGGGAGATTTAAATTACACGTGTACATGCCGTTTTTGAAGTTACGAACTATTATTATTTGTGTCTCGTAACGAGTTTTAACAAAAAAAATCTTTTTTTTTTTGTAAATTAAACTAAATTTTCACATAGTTAAGTAGTTTTGGTGTGCCAAATTAGTCGAATTCGATTTAAAAAAAATATATTTAGTCTTAATTTCATATCACAACGACTTCTTCACGAGTTTGCTTGTTGTGTATCATGAATCATGATGTTTCTGGATTTGATCTGACCAATTGAAATCGGTTAATTAATTATATTAATTAATAATTGCAAATTGGCCTTCTGCTTCCACCACACAAATTTAATTATTGTACAGAAGAAAATTAATTAAAATTATTATCGAAAAGCTTTTTATTGTTCACGGGATTGCCTAAGAATGCTCAATCGCCCATTGGTCGGTCTTGTGATCCACTGCCCCCGAAAGCATTGTTTTTTAAAAGAAATAAAAAATCATACTTTATTAGGTTGTATCTTATCCGTGATCAGATGATTATGAACACACATACACACACACATATAGCGTATATGCGTACAAAGATTACATATATATATATATGTTTATATACACGAAAGATTATATTTATCACCTCCTAAAGGGTACATGAGAGCAAATATAGTTCAATTTCTACTATCAACTTGGTAATTAAACATTTTAATTAAATTACTTTGCCAACCGTCGTACACATGCGTCCTCTCTCTTAACCACTGTTTTATTTTCTCCATACACTTATGCTGTCCTTTGTCCACGTCGACGCCCTCCACTCAATTCTATATAAACCCTAATTAACAATCAAACACACCTTATCCCCGAAGTTAATCTCATCTTATCTCTAATCACATCACTAATCAAACCTGATTAAGGTTGACCCATATTTCTTTAGGGATGGATCCAAAGAGATCTTTTCTATTAGCCCTCTTCATATCTTTCAATCTCTTGTTTTTTACTCATGTGAGCAGCTGCAACACTTGCGTGCAACCCAAGCCAATCCCTAACCCTAACCCTACTAAGAGGAGCTGCCCTAGAGACGCCCTGAAACTCGGAGTTTGCGCCAAAATACTCGACGGGGCCGTGGGGACAGTGGTCGGAGGCCCACCGGACATGCCTTGTTGCTCGGTCCTCCAAGGCCTCGTCGATCTAGAAGCCGCTGTTTGCCTTTGCACCGCCATTAAAGCCAACATTTTGGGGATTGACATTAATATTCCCATCTCTTTGAGTTTGCTCATCAACACTTGCGGCAAAAGCCTTCCCCCCGATTTCGTTTGCGCTTGAAACCTAACACATTGAGTGTTTCGATTTGTGTTTTGGTCTCGTTTCGGTTATTCTGGTTGCGTTCCCGTTTCGGCTGTGTAATAATTTAGTACTGCTTTGGGATATCGTTTCTCATTGTACCCTAGCTTTTGTCATTGTGTAGCCTCGATTGCTTCTCTGTTGTGAAAAGGACTCGTCGGTCCTTATTTGCTTCGTAAAAGACTTCATCGCTTTCAAGATTCCGTAAGTTTGTCTTGTTCGAAATGTTAATCAAGATTCCAATTATTGTGTTGGTTATAAATTTAAGGAAATATTCTTATAAGATATATATACATAACACACGGGATTATACAATAATCTTTTCTGGATTAAGAGCTTGAAAAAGTTAGATTCAAAATGAACAAACAAGATATCAACATATATAGTAAAATTAAAAAGAATAAAGAAAATGGCAACCCCTGACACAACCCATCTTTTTAGGCCGCCACCCGAATAGAAGTAGAACATGAAAATTGTACGTACGTGCATGGGTTTATTATTATTCTTGGGAAATTAAAACCTTTGCACATTATTAAATGACGCAAGTTGCAAAATACAAATGTTTTATTCGTTATATCAGCTATTTATTCAATTATTTTCATTTATATCAAAAATATATATATCTATATATATATTTCCATTTACACGGATTTTGCAAAATGGTTGTAAAAGAATATACAAATAATAGTATTTATAAACAAAACATATATAAATTGGTTATTGCGTGTACAAGAATAGAATTGCTTTTCATTAGATATTTTAAATTTAAATGTATAAATATGATAAAACATGTTGGCCTGCAATTATAAAGCCCAAGTAGTAAATACAAAAGTATAAAGCCCATGAGCATACTTTGAGCCCATCTGAGTCCATCCAACGGCCATCATTGCCCGACCAATGTACAACTACGGATGCAATTAAACGCACGCTTGTGTTTGATTGATTTTTTTTTTATAAGAATATTTTTTTTTTGGGTAATCAAGAATATTATTTTTTTGACAGTATTTACATATACATTTATAAATAAAAATATCCATTCAGATATTTTTTATGTTAATAAATGGTCAAAAAAATGTAAATTTATAAGCGGTCCAATTTTATAAAAATTCAGTAGTGTAAATCAAATTATATATGTATATAGCTTTGTAAATTAAGCACTATAGCAGTGGTTCTTGTTACAGAAAATAAAAATTTACGTATTGAATATTCGATAATTAACTCACTTAAATGGGCCTCGGTCCGATTCCATTTATTTTGTATATTTTATATAGAGACTCTGTTCTACGAGACAAAGAACAGTAATTGGTAGATTCCAAATCCAAGATCGGAGGGGCAAATGAAGGATAGACTTGTAGCTTGTTGAATCTAGAGACCATCTCTTCTTTGTGTGTAGTTTTACAGGCTCTTTTTGGCTAAGAATTTGTCAGAAACTAAAGCTGGACAATTCTCTGGTTGTTTGGAATGACATCTTGAGTTGGCTAAACACTTCATGTGATTCTACAATAGACCGACATATTGCGCTGCTCACTTGACAATCCGCGATCTATACCCTATGACGGAAACGAAATGTCAGAATCCACGGCTCTACCGCTATCTTCTACACCTATGACATACTCTTCGGCGGCTGGCAGCATGTTTTTGGAACATCATCTATACTCCAATGGTTTCGAATTGGTTCACCTTTACCTTTTTATGGCTATTTAGGAAAACTTTATTAACTAATAGATCGGGGAGATATCATCCGCAAGGTCTCTTTTGGTTATTTTGGCTTTTCAACTCTTTTGTATAAGTTGAAAAGCGAAAAACAGTTTGTGTAGATTCGGAAGTAAAGGATACAACAACCTTTGACAAAAAATAAAGTCTAGCAATGCAAAAAATTGTTAATATGCTAACGTTAAGCAACTAATAAGTTTAATCATAATTATTTGAATAATTTATTTTCCACTATTGCGGAGCGAAAACTCGATCTGCTACGTTTAATTCTCTAACATATGTAAACAAAAGTTGAATTCCAACATTATATTTTATTAAATATGCATATATGCATATATCTTTGGTGTTGACGACAATGAATTTCATGAATGCCGGGGAAGAGGCAAATCGAATTTTCAACGGGGCTTGAAATGTTTATAATTATATATATATATGTGGTGATGATAAATATATGTTATCTTTAATGTCTTTTGGTTAACTTCTTGAAGCACATATGAGAGCTCTGTGAAGCGAAAACTTGAAAAGTCATATACATTTTTAATTGCAAACTTTAATCTTATAAATCCGACGTCTGAATTCATAGATTTGATCAACTTTCAACGATAAAACCGATATTCTAATTGCATGTTCTTACTCGTCATTGGTATTGGAGAATTCATCTCTGTTGTTGACGACAATGTATCTCACGAACGTCAGGGGAAGAGGAAAATCGAATTTTCAATGGGTTTTGAAATATTTATAATTGTATATATCCATATGGTCATGATATATATATATATATATATATATATATTCTCTTTAGTGCCTTTTCGTTAGCTTCTTGAAGTACATATGAGAGCCCTGCGACGTGAAAAATCGAAAAATTGTATATATATTTATATTATAAACTTTCGTCTTATAAATTTGACGTCTGAATTCATTTGATCAACTTTCAACGTTAAAGTTGGCCTTTATTTTATTTTTTTTGGCTAATTGCATGTTCTTATTTCTACTATAAGAAATTTCATGGACGTTGCTTCTTTTTTTACCTATAAATAGTGTAGCTTTTTTTTCCATATTTTATTTTCTGAGTTCTTTCGTTGCCTTTTTTGTCAGATGGCTTTCACTTTTTGTATCATTCTTTGATAATAAATTCATTTTCGGCCAATGAGATCCATGCATCATTTTTCTCTCTCTAAAAAATAAGGAACATTTGCAGAATTCGTATAGAACGTCTCGTAGAATACGAATATATACATACACACGTACGATGTAAAAGGCGATAGATTAATTATATAACTTTTTCTGGCTTTTAACACTTACAAATTTTTAGTATCATACATTAAAACTATACAATATTTATAAAAATAAATTACAATAACAAAACATCTTTATATTTAATGTAAAAATAGAAAATAGAAAAATCAAATAAAATCTAATATACGTGTACTAATCCTCTATATTTATTTTTATCTCGCATACTTATACTGTAAAATTATTAATTAAATAATTTTATTTAGAAATTTATTGTCTTTTATTTTAGTAACAAAATTTTCTATTTTGTTTGTGGTTTTGCATGGGAAAACGCAATCCACCACTTGCGTTTGCATTATTTAGTTCTCCTAAGGGTCCAATCTTTGGTGATTTCTGAAAATTATTTTACTTATATACATATATATGCGTGCACACGCTTGGTAGTCTACACGTATACACACACACATATATATATATATATGCACGTGCGAACTCCATTGCTTCCGAGCAATTCCAATTTCCACATGAAACTCCATCTGAATGCCAAATACACAGTACTAGACCAATAAAATGGCAAACATCAACATTAACAAATATATATATATATATATATATTAATTTACAGGTACATACATGCGTGTATATGTCGAATCATCCATTTGACCGAACATAAAATAACAAAAATTTAATTCATACATGTGTTTACTGAAAAATTTTAACAGATGGAGATAAATTAATCATGAATCCCCACAGTATCAAATGTCTGAGTATTTTTTTTAATACAAAAATAGATATCCCTTTTGAAATGTATGTTCCGTAAATATTGAAATGTAAGATACAAATCTTTCCATATACCAAAAAAATAAATAAAATTTAATGGGCAAAGTCTAAATGGGGTCTCTTTGGGTGTATACATCGTCTAGACAAAATGTGCTGGCCACGTACTAAGTTGTTGCCTCCCCAGTTATATCTACAAATTGAGAATCTTCAAATAAGGTATTATTATTGTTATTATTGCCATTATATTATTTGACGTTCTTT